TCGAGGCACGTGGCCCTTTTCTCACAATCTTGAAAGTTGATCGCGTGTGCATCGTAATTGCTTGCACCGTTTCGAGCCACCAGTGGGGAAGGCAGTGATCGTGCACAATTGAAAGTAGCGGGGCTGCAGAACAGGCAGGAGATGAGGAGGGGTGTTGCATCGCCACGTGGATGCATGTACAAGTTTGCGAACAGCTGTTAGCCATGTTTCTCATTCGAACTATGGCCGACAACTTACATAGCCACAAAAAACGACCTCCACATAATCCGCAATCTTGTTTAAATCTTACAGAAATCAATCAGGTAAACAAAAGGGTATTTTGTGGTTCTCATCTGACTTATCTGGGCTAACGGTCTGGCAGTTGTAAGATGTGGGATATGTGCAATTATATGCGACATTTCAATCTGGAGGGAACCAGGATGGTGTGCGGGCAACTGAGGTCATGTGAGCGCCACCAAAATCACTAATTTTCCCTACCAGCGGAATCCTATAGACGAAGATAAAAAGACTGATGCAAGCTAAACGATATTGGGACTAACTATGCTTTTGAACATTTGTGTAAGGTACCATAAACCGAACAGTGTGGGAATATCCCCAATTAAAAATCAGACATTAAAAACGATTTAGCAATCTATGAAGATATAGATGGGGTAAAGGAAGTCGTTTGGGCAGAACTTATTTAAATAGGTTTGTAGTTGCTTGTGTTTTAGCACTGCCTTACAGCCAAGTATTTAAAATAAGTCAACAGTGATGATAGTAATGGGGAGGGCTAACGTAAATTGCATACTTCCCCTAAAGAATATGCCTAGGCTCCTTGAGCAGTTTATCTTTGCAGTCGTATTTATTTACCTTAGGACGCTTTATGTGGATATGCACTCTAGTCAATTTATCCATGGGATTGATCTAATAGCTGGATACCGCATTAACCTTCATTTACCCAACGAATTTAAGAAATTCCAGTTTGTAGTAAGGGTCGTAGCTTGCTAACGGAACGGTTGATAAAGGTACAAAATGAGTGATTTTTAATAAGATTTGAAGTTTTTAAATGCCTTGACCGTTGTGATTTTACGTGGTAAGAGCTTCTCTTCACTCGTCTTGACCTCCGATGCCGTGTTTGACGTTGATGTGGGAATTCACGGGTTGTATTCACTTCACCAAGAGCTCGTTATGCAGGGTCCTGCCCCAGAAGTTCAGTATTGACCGGCATTCAAGTCGTGAAGCGATCTCATTCAATGTTGCTGAAAAAATTAGGTACTCATTTACATTTAGAGAATGGAAGACGCAGGAATATAAAAACTAAAGTGAATTTAGAAAGGTTTTCAAACGGAAAACATGCATCAAGCTGGTGGAAATATTCTCTTTTGGAAATATGCGATTTTTAAGTTCTCAAACATGAACTATTTTGGCTTTGTCCATGAAATTCCCATAAACAAGAACATTTGGCTGGAATTCTTTTATATTTATCACAAGTAATGCAGCAAATTAAATACTTGACCGGCGGTAATGAATAGTTGACATTGTATCAAGGGTGTTGCCTTCATAGCGCTGATTAACTTTGGTTTTGTTTAATGACTGTGTCATGATTGCCATGAGGAAGAAACAGCTTGCATAAAGCAACCTTCGTCGTTACATTATGCAAACCAATCCCTACTACTGTTTGTAATGCTGAAATCTTGAACAAATAGCTGCAGGTCGCATTGTTTTTTTTATTTTCGAGAAAGCAGTTGCATTTTGCACTACTTGAGGCTTCTGACTTATGTACCGTCTAGTTATTTTCATTCAATTCCACTCATGTTTGAGTCAGTTGTCCTAGGTAAAGTGATTGTTCTTATACACAATAAAATGCCCTATATAGGGCAAAGGAATTATTGGATTTTTCTTTAATGGGGCATTAACTTTTACCTATATCTTCCCAGGGATGCATTAATCGCTACTGAGTCGAACTGTACTGATCTCAAACCAATTTCATGGGCATTCACTTGTGTAGCTCGGTCAATGAGATCACATCATTAGGACTAGTGTTTCCAAAAGGACCGTATAGATAAATGTGACGGTTCACGTCCACCAACTCTGTCGTCTCAGTGTCCTTTCAATTTCTGTGGACACGTATGATAAAGCTCCCGGTGCAGTACCTCCACTGTCACGCATACCACGCATCTTGATATTCAGATTCTTGAATATTTGCCGATTCACGGAAAGTTCATTCGTCAGCCCTCTTCATTTGTTACTTTACTATTGGACACGTTTGATAGCACACGGTCTTGAATGCACACACTCTCGACGGACAAAAAGTTTCGGCCGTCCAATTAACGCCTGTGCATCCACCGCCTCCGTTCTCCTTAATCTACCCCGGGGATCTGCGTAGTGTAATCGGGCCAATGCAATGTGGAGGTGTTCAAGACTCAAACCAGGGCTCCAGCTAGTGCTGACGTGATTACCTTGCTAAGCCCGTGTACTTCAACAACCGAAGTAGTCACCACGCTGTGTTTGACCCATTGAACACATTGTATCGAACATCCACATTCTAGCAATTGAAAAATTCTGTTATTTTTAAACGGTTAACTCTGTCTATTTAGTTATCCAATTACATAAATGACGTATCTTGGGGGAACGTTTTGGCTTTTGGCCAGGGGCCTGCGATATGACGTTTCATCATTCTGAAAGCAGTTATTTCTGTTTATTTTAAAATGCAGTTTATTTAGTATTGCTTGGGGTAAAAAGCACACAAGGAACTATCTATCATTTTCCCAATGAACTTACATTAAACTCATCAGAAAAACATAAGTTCGCTACTCTTTGGTTGAAGCTTCAAGCTCTGATCTGATTTTTTAAGCAGTACAAGTTACAAAGCTAAATACAGCGCGAACTCATATCTAATACCACTTTTCGTCCCAATTACAAAGGCAGAAACATATGCAACTGATCCTCAGTCTCTTTGTATTCGGATGGCCTGTGAGGAAGATACGCAGCCAATCAGAGGCAGACACTTTGAGAAGCGGTGTGTAATGAGCGGCGCAGTCAACGTGGTAGACTCGGTTGGATGGTATGAATGGATGGAAGGTTCTGGCTTGTGATTGGTCAATAACGCCTTGTCAGTGTAACAGTTTCTTTCATACTTGGGATCGGGTATTCACATTGGTAGAAACGGATGCGCTTGAATAACGTGAATCAAACCCTAGCTCTTTCCCTTTTATGGACAACAGAGGCGAAGACCCTTGAACGCCAGCTATTGTCATGGCAGTCTATCCGATGTTCCAAACACTGGGTCCATAGACATTGCCCACGATTAGAACCGCTGCATCTGATGAGGCATTGGACACTGAAGAAGCCAGCTGGACTGTACGTGGAGAAAGAACCTGCGATGGATGAAGCGGCCCCACTGCAAGTCTACAAGAGCAATGTCCCTCGTCAAATATTCGCTTGGGCCACTATCCTGCCAGATGTGGGGTATCAGGAGTGTCGAACTGGATACTTTATCGATCTTTGACAGCGCAGGGAACCACATCAGAAGCTGAGGACTGCTTCTCTCCTGCCTCAGTGTAGTGTAGAATACCCGAGCCCTAGTATGAAGAAGGCTGGTACAACAAACCAGAATTTATTGACCAGTCACAAGCCAGAACCACACGTCAGGCGTCGTCCATCCGAGTCCACCACGCTGGCTATGACGCTCTTTATATACTGCTCCTCATTCGTGTCTTTCTCTGGTTGGCTGCTTATCTTCCTCACATGTCATTGGAACGCAGAGCGACAGAGGATTAGCTGAGGCCTGTGTGGTCCAATATGTCTGCGCTCTTATACGTCGGTACACTAATGAAACAGAATCGCGAGGATAAAACAAACTCTTGATTGGCTGCGTTTTTGCATTTGATAAGGTATGTAATGCTTATCAGCATAAGAAAATTTAGCTGTATTTCGCAACTTTTATGGCCATTGTCCATCCTCAAGTTTTCTAACCTGCGGTTTCGATTTTGTTTTTAAGCAAATGCCCACTGAACTAGTCCCATCCACTGATTGATCTTACTGTCTCTGCGACAACTCCAAAGTACCATTGAATAATGAAACTTACTAGTAACAAGTCAGGTGTACACCATTAACAAGAAAAGCTCACGACTGTAATAATACCACAGATCCCACATGGCAGATGCGAAATCTCATAATTTATGGAGGAACAAAATTACGGCTCTGGATTGTACTTAAAACAGTAAAAATAAGCACTTGCAAACAAATCCAGTTTTGATTAGCTATACAAAATTGAGATTTGTTTTCAGAGGTTGCGACGTCCTTTACATCTCGTCTTAACTTTAGGAGAGACATTCAGGCATCCTTGGTTCAAACGCTCCCTTCTAGGACACCAGCTTACAGCAAAGTGAGATAATCTAAATATTGTCATCACCATCTACATAACGCAGTCAACTGCAAGATTCTAAGATCCAGTCATCACCATTGACGCTGGATCCAATAGAAGTAGTTATGACGATGTTACAAGTAGTGTGATGTTCTTTAATCTTCTCTGCCGTTTACTGGTTTTCGCCTATTCTGATGTAAGATTCCAAGCCACTCGCTCCTTGCAAATCTTGAATTTTGCGTGCCACTGCAAGTCTAACCTAATACTTAGCAAATCGACAAAGTGGTGCATATTTTAGCTTTCCAAGCGTGCTAACACATAGTAGCTTAACACAATTTTATTCATTCTTGTCCTTTTCCAAGAGCAACCTAGTATGAAATTTTTACCTTTAGAAGATCAAGCAAATCCACAAAAGAAACTGTTGTCCATTTATTATACTCGATCAAATCTTTTCTCTTGCCAATATTCTTAAATTACCTCAACAACAAACGCTGCCACATCATTAAGTCTGCCAAAATTTAAGGCACTTAAATTGTAACCAGATTTATTATCTACATGGTAAACAAACATCAAAAGTTTTGTGCTGATCGCCTGATTTGATTTGATTAGCAAATTAGATAAAGTCACATGAAATTGTTATAGAAAGTTCGTTTGTTTACAATATTAAACGTCCGGTTCTTATAGCTTGAGCAAGGGAAATTCCACGGGGTCTCCGGATGACAGGGATAGCGCGGTTGTCATCCAGTTCAAATGCCTTCTGACAGGCACTGCTGTTGTTGTTGTTGTTCTGATCTCCTGACAACTCTTTCAGTGCACCATCCACGATTATGTTCACTATATGCCTGGCCCTGTTTTTGATGCTGCTTGAGTTCCTGGAGAAGGATTCGCGGACCATAGAGTCAGAGAGAGCCCGTTCGATGATGATATCTGCACGTCTATCCATTGCACTGGGGTCAGGCGAACTTACAGCTGTTTCACCCTGTGCCGATAACGTTGACGCGCAGATGGCCAGGTTAGAGAGCACACGCTGCACCACGTACAGGGCCTGCTTATTTATTTTTTCAGATTCGCTTTCCTCCATCGAATCAAGCCGGGACGAGAGCTTTTCGGCCATCTTCGTGAACATGCCGTCCAGGATCTGACACGAAGTAGTGGCTTCCTGAACACTGACTGGCTTGGGTGATGTTTTGTCTTTATTGTCTCTGCGAATGTACAAATTTTTGTCAGTACTTTTTGTGCGGTGGACATCACTTGACATATGGAAACGCATTGGAACGCTGCCCGTAAATTTATTAACTATTGACTGGGGTGGTGCAAAACCGGACGACGGAGTCCCCCGCTCTCCAGAGATGATGCAACCTGGTTCTCCATGATCAGACTTTCGTTCGTGAATTCCATTCGCCTTTTCATCTTGTGATTTATAAATGTAGACACCCTGCAACGCTTTATTCACAATATCAGTAGCTACGTTTTGAAGATCTAGAGAATCCTGACCACTTTGTCCATACCCCTGAACATCTTTGCCCTTAATTGATGCCGCTACACCAAGTTTATTAGTCTTTCTTTGCAAATCACCATTGTCGCCGAAAATTTCTGGAAGAGCCTTCAGATTACTCCTCGTGACTAGTTCACGCGAATTCGTCATGCCTTTGTCAGTTATAACAAAAGACATGTTACCAGAATCGACATCCGGTGGGGTTACAGAAGGTGAATTTCTAGCGGAGGATTCTGTTTGATAGCTGGTGGATTTTGAAGCTGAATTGATAACAAACAAGCCCCTTTTTGAATTGGTCGAGGTTATGTTCAGGGAGTCATGCATTTTAGAGGGTGCGGAAAACTCCTTCATTGTCGCAATGCCTGTCAAGACCTCCCGAATAACCCGTTTGGTTAAGTTTTCGATAGAATCCGAGTTACCTGTGGCAGTATCTATGCGACTTTTTACTCTCTCATTTCCACTACTACCTGATGGTCTTCCTTCAGCAGGTTTGAATTGTACTGTGGATCTCTCAAGACTTCCAGAAGATTTCACACTTTCTGCAGTGGATTGATTTAAAGAAGGTGGCTTTTTTTTGCCTATTCTGAAGGACGATGAATCCTTGAAAATATCTCTATTTCCTTCTTGTTTCTCTCCTTCTGACTCACTTTTTGATCTAGAAATCCCCGAGGACATGATGCTTGTAGACTGCTTCATCGTCCCCATATTTGGACTCCCAGTAGGTGAGATCCACTGCTTCGAGATTTCCAAAAGCACCTCTTCCACTATCAATTTTGATAGACTTTCGATTGAGTACATGGGAAAAGAAAGCAGACTAGCAGTTGAACCAAAGTTGGAAAAGGTTCTTGATGTTTCAGGTCCACTCACTGGATCGTCTGAATTTTTCGCGGAACCGTGAGTAGAATTGTCTTGCATCCTATTTTCGAAAATCGAATGAGATTCAGGTAACCCTGAAAATGCATCTTCCACTGTTAGTTTGGCCAGGCTTCCTGTCGACTGCGAGTGAGCCGGCGTTCTTTCTTCATAATCAAACAAGCCGGGGGTCGCAATGGCTTTACCCTGAGCACCAGTACTTAAAGTCCTTGACTGTCGGCTTTCAGTTGTGTCTTTTGTCTCCTGCCGTAAAACATCAGTGCTATCAGAAGTCCGTGATTCCATGGCTTTTGACAATACTGTCTCCACCAATGAATGAATCGATTTCGTTGTATCCTCTGTGGACGCACTAACTGACGAGGTGGGTACGTAAGCGTCTGAGATGAAGTTATCAGGAATTTGGCCTTCCGAGAAACTGAGGCTACTGCCTTCGGATGCTGTATTGGGCATGACACCCGAGTCCCACGGTTTGCTCTGGGTCATGAGTCCTTCGATGAACTTTTCTGAACTGGGTGCATAATACGAATCAATATAACTGACTCGAAATCCGTCCACTGACAGATTTGCCTTCTTTATTAGTTGAACGTTATTTGATTTCGGGTCTTCCACAAGGGTTTCCTCACTCACGCTGTCGATCTCCAGAGGAGCCTCTCGAAGTACATCCGCCACAATCTGCTGAGCAGTGTTTTCCAGTTCACCTTCAGGATCAAGCACAGGTCTACCGGGTGGAAAGTATAGAGGGTATTTGTTGGCTAAAAATACTACTGAACGGGTTGGAATTAAAGCTTTGTTTTCTTGGGACACAGGTTGTACTTCCTCAATTTGTTCGCAAAAAGTACGCGTGATCGCTTTTGCCAAGGTGGTTTTCGATTTTGAAGAATCACGAAGGATACTGCTTAGACATCTCCCAGTATCAACCCCTTCGCGAGCATCGTAATTTTCCCTCTCCTCTTCTCTCTCCTCATTCTTTCCATTTACGTCGAGTTCTAGTTCAGTCGATTCACCAATAGTGTGATCATCGTCAGCAAAAGCCTCTTGCAAATAGGAAGGAGGAGGTGGGGATTCTGCGTAATCCTCAGGTCTGGCATTCGCTAACCGGGGACCGAATAATACATCACTCTTAGTCACGTGAACATTAATGTCCAATTCCTTAATGGTCTTGTGAAACGGTTCGAGACGTTTGTTAATCGAAAATAGTTTGTTGATTGATTTTGAGTTAGCATCAACAGCTGTGGTGAATAAAATCTCTAATGTTCTAAGGTACTCAGAAAAAAGCATAATGTCTGGGTTAGGAATTCTTCGGAGGGCATTTTTCATTCCTTGGGGCCAAAGTCGATAAAGGTGGTCACGAATACTTTTGTACGTTTCTGAATTGGGGCCTTTTTGTTGAAAATTCCTGTAACCACAGCAATTTGTATAAAACATATCTGTCTCCAAAAATGCGAATCCATAAACGCGTTCGAATTCCATAAAGTGCTTTTTAACGGGACGCAAAATCATTTCCCAATATCGAAGTAGGTACAAACGTATAGTATTATTTACAGAGAGCAAGCCTTCAAAAATTTCGAGTCCAGGCCCCAGCGAATTCCATCCTCTCCTGAGAAGGTGAGCGTTACTCAGAAGGTTCTTTAGGGCAGTCATTCCACCATTTTGTAGAAGGTCTAGTAATTGTTTACTAGAACTGTGACGCACAATATCCATTGCTGCAAGAAATGAAGTTCTGGCTTTGATGTCAGTACCATAGTTCATTTCTCTCAAAACCTCCTCAAGGATGTGTTTGTTTCTCACTCCCCTAATGGGGTAGGACCATTGAATGCCGTTGATGGACGAAGTATCAGCGGCGAAATCTCGCCTAAATGGCAACTGGTCCCGCATGCCTATTCGACGGAACGAGTCAGTCACCTCAGTGACTTCATGCGCTCACTGAGAAAAAATCGATTAATTTAGTGGCCGATTCAAAATAGCGTGGTTAGTGCTTCTTTATGAAGTCATTCGAGTTTGCTTTAACATACATATGTAGTTTATTTAAATATGTATTTCCAACAAGCTAATTAGTGACTGAAAAGATTAAATGCTCATGAGGTCCGCAAATAAAATTCAAAAAATCTTATGCTCCGGTACGGAATTAATATCAAACACGTACAACGTTGGACTACAAAACTACTTGTACCAACAATTATTATTCCACCGTTTCATGAAGCGTTGAGCTACAAAAGAAAGGTGAAGACAGTCAGCTACGAGCACTTTTAGAGGGGTAGTGTTTAAGTGTAGGACAGAATTAACATTGATTCAATATCCATGCCTTTAAACAACTGATGCAGGGAAGTATGCAACTGCCGTGGAAATGTTTTACTTTTTTGGTCTGCGTTGCGTTTATCATAAAATCTGGCAGGCCAACACTACAAGCTAGTCACTAACGGCTTTCGTTAAGAATAAAGGGTACGGAAATTGGGTCCTGTAGAGCTATTTATTGCAACTGCATTTTAAAATTAGAGACAATTTTGAGGTACTTTTCCCACATATGATTTTGAAGGAAATCGGGGATTTATATTTACTAGTTCATTTGACCCATCGATTTTTCCTGACTTGATCAACATATACCGGTGTCAGTAAAACGCATAACAAATGTACATAGGTATATTGAATTTATGGGCTTTTTAAACATATTTGTAAATAGGATAACTTTCGTGGAGCGTACCGATTTTAGACTCTGCAATCTTGTTCAAATAAATTCAAATGTTCCTAATACAAAAATTCATGTTATCTGGCAAAAATGTTTTGACTTCTTAAGGTCTGATAAAGCTGCAAAGGGAATACTTGGTGGTCGATGGGCTACTCAAAAGTTGGTGGGAAGAGGGCATTCACAAAACTTGTGATTCTCGATTTTATTGCAGAAATTTATGGAAACCAAAATCAAACGAAGGATCCATAGGAAAAAATTTGCAGTGTACCAAGCATTAGTCATCAAATTGCATGTACGCAAATGGCTTAGCCACCGTTTATGTAAATGCCTCTTTAGTAAAGCGGATTAAACGCTTTTAGGAAGCCAAGGCTGCATAAAAGACAACTGGCTTTTTGGACACTCATTCAATTACTTTCCAATTTACCACTCCTGCATTTTCTATTTAAGCAGGACCTTTGCATTTTGGTACTTTAATTGTGAAAACCAAATTCAAGCGAAGAAAATAAGTTATTGAGCGATCACAAAAAGCCAGAGCCCGATTTTGATAAATGACAGAAGAACTTACATTTGATTGTGCTGATGTTTCTATTTTTAAGCATATTATTTATTAACAGTTAAATAAATGCGCCAATATTAACGAAAAACCACATTCAGGCACTGATAATCACCTAATCCGTGATTTTGTGAATAATTTACAGCAGATTTCTACTTAGAAGATAGCTGTGAGACCAAATCCTGACAATTCGACCGCATTTTGCCATTTAGAATAACTTGGATGCACATCAAAACTCGAAATTTATGGCTCCGCAAGTCTAGACAGGACAGCATAAACCAAACCGTGCTTCCACAGGCATTTCAATTCTCGACCGTCAAAAATGCGAACCTTTCCAGGATCCAATCATAATTGGAGATGAAAATTACTTATGTAGAAAGTGTGGAAGAAAAGGAACCGAACCGATAACAAAGGCCAAAATTGCATCCAATAAGAAGCTCGTTTGTATTGGGTGGGTTTCCTGTGGAGTAATTGCTAACAAACTTCTTTCACGTAGCCACAGCACCTGTGGTAGAATACCTTGAACAACTCATCTCAGTATTGAAATCCAAACACCACATCTTTCACCACAGTAACGCCAAATCACACTGCTCAACAGACCCAATATCAACTTAGGAGTTAAAATGAGAAATGCTCCGGCACTCACCGTGTTACCATGGTCTATAATACTTCACTATTTTCATGTTCCGCTGTGTAAAAATTACGTTAATAGCGACAATACAATTTAAGGGGAGAATTTAAAATCTATTTTTCGAATTGCATTGAAGAGAAACCACATCGTTTATAAAAAGGAATTTAAAAACTTGTAAACTGTTGGAAGACACTTATAGGAGATGATGTGAAGTACAAAAGTGCTTAATTAGTACTATTTTCCACGAGAGTGGTTTGGACGTAAACTGGTTTTAAATCGGGCACCAATCTTTGCAATCACTCGATCCTTGTAGATTTTGGTAATTTTTATCCCTTTATTATGCTAAGTATGGAAAACAAAGGTGGAATTAAAGGTGCATAAACGACTACGCCACCGACAATAAGTGCTCCAGGCTCATTTATAAGAAGAAATCAGCGTCATCAGGAGCCCAAGTCAGAATAAACTGCCGCACCCAAAAGAAAATATGGCAGATTTGATCTTCCGGAATTGTGATTATAATTCAACCACTTACAAACAACGAACATGACACAAAGCTGATAGCACACTTGCCATCCTACAAAGACACCTCACAACGAAAAGCTTGCCGAGGTCAGATGGAACCACTTCCGGTCACTTTTTCACTCAAGCCATCTTCAAGCGGAACATCCTGCTTTTTTGAGCTTTCATAACGCACTGCAGTTGCCATAATCCATTCGGGCTTCGGTTTTAAAAGCTAAAAAATGTAAAAAAATGCGATTCATCAAGCGACGTAGTAAGGCGGAATGTCATTTGCATTAGCTTACACCTCCACGCGGTAACTTTCTTGGATGAGATAGGTAATTATGGAAACTGAAGACGCCTGTGGCAAACTTAAACCTACATTTTTCAGACTGTGTCGATTTCTATAGATTTCTACCAAGGCCGTCGCCGGGATTGGGATGATGGAAGTTGATGCAAGACACCATCCAAAAACAGACGTCCAGTCAGGGAAGGGTTCGCCATTGGTAAACATGGGGGGAGCATAGTTTATCAACATTGTGATGAAGATAAAAACTGTAAATGCCGGTGTCACCAGGTACCACAAAGTCACCCAGAAGTAGCGCATGAAGCGCGTCCGAGGGCCAAGCATTGTTTCAGCGTTAGTGAACATTTTCTTCGCACCTATTCCAAAGGGTCACAGACATATTATGCGTTAAATCGAAAGTCCTACATTAGATCTGATGACGTCAAAATACTCTTTTACATTAGGACCTTGATCAGCCTGAGTAATGAGTAGCAATGTGATCCAACAAAATTATTCAAGAATTGGGTCGCTCTGAGTATTTTAGTCATAAGAGCGCCCTAGTGAGGCTGATTTCTAGGAGCAGGGTAAAAGATGGAACGCATGTGAGCATGCTTTTTAATGAACCAACCCTCTGAAATCAGCTAGTTACTCTATGCCACCTCAAGTTCAGGAGGGACTTACCATATATGTACGAGATAACGATGACTTCTAATGTGGCTATAATGATGATGCTGGTAGGTGTTGCATACCAATCGAAAACTTGGAAGTAATATCCACCGGCCTGAAAAATACAAATGGAATGTAAAATAAACAGACTCATAATTGTTAAACATTTAGTCATTAAATCCCAATTTTTATTACGAATACACAGCATGCATCTGTTTTATATTCAAAGATCTCTAAAAGGTGAAAAATTATGACATTAGGCTTTGACAGTGACTTTGCTTCATTTCGCTGCCCCACTTTCCAAACCTGTCGTATCGCGTTTGCCACTGCAACTTAAATTCGCTTGGCGGTTAAGTTAAGCACGTCAATGCAAATTGAACTTACCCGCGTCACAAGTATCAGACCAAGTAGAAATTCAACAAAACACGTAAGAAAGGTAAAGAGGATTTTGTGTTTTCCAATGGTTGTGGGAAATAGATCCATTAAACCGCTTGTCATCGTTTCCAGGGTAGCGAACTAGGTAAAACGGTAATAAACTCATTAAGACTGAAGCTTGTGCGAAAGCACCAATAATTGATAACAATATTTCTGGCTAATTCAAAATTGCGTGTTTAATGCACTAAAAGGCAATAAATTCTTGGGAGAATTTATGTGGATGGCAGGCAGAAGACTAATGTTTCGGGGAACCGGATACTTTATTCGCCCTTTGCAAGTCGAAACTCGTATAAACTTTGACAGTGAACACGAACTTACCTGTGTGTCAATACCTAGTGTAATCAGCATAGCAAAGAAGAGAACGGTCCAGATAGGAGCTCCGGGGATTTGTGCAAGTGCCTCGGGGTAAGCAATAAATGCAAGACCTGGTCCATTCCGCATCAAAGCACCTACGTCTTTGATTCCCATTTGATAAGCCATATGTCCAGTGATGGAGAATACGGCCAGCCCTCCGAAAATGCCCGTCCCTCCACAAATGAGTGGCAGAAGAACTGCGTCCCTGGAGCAAACAGAATTGCTTATATCAAAACCCCAAAACGCTGTAGTAGATTTGTTTGCGTTAGAAGACGACGCTTGAATCGAACGATGTTTCAAATAGATCATTGGAGATGTAGCTAGGTTTCATGTGTAATCACACCCAAGTGCGTAGAGATTATTGCCCAAGTTAGGAAAACAAGGACTATGAAAATAAGGATGCGTCTTCAAATGTCCGTCAGAATATTATGTAGGTCGAATTCTCATAATTCCTACCGTGGAGTCCTGCGTGTGCATTTGCAGTCCCTTCAGCTTAACTACAATCAAGTCGCATCATGAAGACAAACACCAACCAGGCAGAATGTGCACAACGGTGGCATCTTGTGGCCGTCGTGAAGTTTTAACTAAGTTTTGTATTTAAACATTCATTATTATCATTATTATTATTATTGAATCAATGAATTCCATACCAAAGAAAATCTATTTAAACTCAAAATGCACTGGATTAACACGGAAAGTTATAACATGGACAAAAAATGAGCAGGGCTCACTATACAATAACCGACTAGCTAAAAGCGTAGACTACGCAAGGATTAGCATGAATGCGGTAGGTTTTAGGTTTAGCGCATTATGTTGGTTAAAATGTTAAAGAATTGAGCTTATGTCTGATCATGCCTGTGACTGGCTTGCCACATTTAACATTATTGGCACGAACGGATCATCAGTCACGCACGACTTTTCCGAACAGCGTATAAGCTGGATCGCAGTCTACGTGTCAGACATGAGACATTTACGTCAACGAGCTCAATATTTCCACGGTACAGTTCTGTCGAACCTGTTAAATTTTCGGTTGTAGTGGTTGTACGAAGACATGGTAATTAGACCTCCCCAAGCAGGACCAAGAGAGTAGAACACTTGGACAGCAGCTCGAGTCCAAATCTAAGCATCAATAAGGAGATAGATTGAGAAACGATTCCTTCAATTGATGTCATCAGACACAGATTTCAAAACAGTACCGTGAAATCCAAAAGTTTTTCCCATTTCGGCTTGAGGTAAAACTCCAGACCGATTGAGGATCCGGGCAATGTAATTCCACGTATCACAAGAACTGTTAAAAACACGTACGGTAGAGGAGCCGTAACGTAGACCACCTGCAAAAGGAGTCGATTTTGACAGCATTTTTGTTTAGTGGATACAAAACCACTGAGTTCTTTTTACCGAAAGGCCACGCCACTGGCTGCAACCACTTACAACAACCATGCATATATTTATTGTGCCAACAGTGAATTGATGGATTGTCGAGATCATTG